TGGATTCTGGTGTAGCTAAAAAACCAAGAATTATTATTTATCATGGAACTTATGGAATGATGATGTCCTGGAATTCAGGAAACCACCTCATTTTCCACGAGTGACAAAAATGAGTGACAAAGCAGGCTGGAAATGAACTGTACCATTGGATATGGAGAGATCACTATTAAAGAACAACCAAAACTATAAAAATGGTTGTCAATATTGCCAAATTCAATGTATTGTACCTTGACAAACCTGCAGAGCCTGAGGTCAGTGGGAGGAGCTGGCTGGAAATGAGCAGCACCCTTTGATATGGAGATATCACTATTGAAGAACACCCAAAACCATAAAAATGGCAGAGAATATTGCCAAAAATCAGTTTTGAATTGTACTTTGACAAACCTGCAGAGCCTGAGCCCATCCTGCCAGCAGGAGGAGCTGGCTGGAAATGAACTGTACCATTGGATATGGAAATATCACTACTGAAGAACACCCAAACCCATAAAAATGGCAGTGAATATTGCCAAAAATGAGGTTTGAACTGTACCTTGACAAACCTGCAGAGCCTGAGGCCAGCAGGAGGAACTGGCTGGAAATGAGCAGCACCATTTGCTGTGGAGGGATCACTATTAAAGAACACCCAAAACCACAAAAATGGCAGTGAATATTGCCAAATTCAATGAACTGTACCTTGACAAACCTGCAGAGCCTGAGCCCATTGTGCCAGCGGGAGGAACTGGCTGGAAATGAGTTGTACCATTTGATATGGAAAGATAATTATGGAAGAACACCCAAAACCATAAAAATGGCAGTGAATATTGCCAAAATCGAGGTGTACCTTGACAAACCTGCAGAGCCTCAGGCCCAGCACCATTTGCTATGGAGAGATAACTGTTAAAGAACACCCAAAACTATAAAAATGGCAGTGAATATTGCCAAATTCAATGAACTGTACCTTGACAAACCGGCAGAGTCTGAGCCCGTCCTGCCAGCGGGCGGAGCTGGCTGGAAATGAACTGTACCATTGGATATAGAGAGATTACTATTAAAGAACACCCAAACCCATAACAATGGCAGTGAATATTGCCAAATTCAATGAACTGTACCTTGACAAACCTGCAGAGCCTGAGGCCCAGCACCATTTGATATGGAGAGATCACTATTGAAGAACACCCAAAACCATGAAAATGGTTGTGAATATTGCCAAAAACCAGTTTTGAATTGTACTTTGACAAACCTGCAGAGCCTGAGGTCAGTGGGACAAGCAGGCCAGAAATGAGCAGCACCATTTGATATAGAGATCACTACTGAAGAACACCCAAAACTATAAAAATGGCAGTGAATATTGCCAAAAACCAGGTTTGAGTTGTACCTTGACAAACCTGAAGAGCCTGAGGCCAGTGGGAGGAGCTGACTGGAAATGAGCAGCACCATTTGCTATGGAGGGATCACCATGGGAGAACACCCAAAACCATAAAAATGGCAGTGAATATTGCCAAATTCAATGTATTGTACCTTGACAAACCTGCAGAGTCTGAGGTCCTGCCAGCAAGAGGAGCACACAGGAAATGAGCTGCACCATTTGATATAATTACTGAAGAACACCCAAAACCATAAAAATGGTTGTCAATATTGCCAAATTCAATGTATTGTACCTTGACAAACCTGCAGAGCCTGAGCCCATTGTGCCAGTGGGAGGAGCTGGCTCAAAATTAACTGTACCATTTGCTATGGAGATATAACTATTAAAGAACACCCAAACCCACAAAAAAGGTTGTGAATATTGCCAAATTCAATGAACTGTACCTTGACAAACCTGCAGAGGCGGAGCCCGTCCTGCCAGCAAGAGGAGCTGGCTGGAAATGAGCTGTACCCTTTGATATGGAGATATTATGATATATCAATATTAAAGAACACCCAAAACTATAAAAATGGTTGTCAATATTGCCAAATTCAATGAACTGTACCTTGACAAACCTGCAGAGCCTGAGCCCGTCCTGCCAGCGGGCGCAGCTGGCTCAAAATTAACTGTACCATTTGCTATGGAGATATCACTATTAAAGAACACCCAAAACTATAAAAA